TAGAATAGCTCTATATCTTCCAACTAATTTTTGCCATGGTTCAGTTCAAAATCAACCAACCATCGCTTTTCAAAATGGCATATAAACAACTAATTTGAATCAATAAATAACTGAATTGTAGAATTTGTTAACTTTCAACTTCTATTATAACTGTATTAAATTATTAACAATAGTAAAATTACCCGACACTGACCACACTTGCATATTGTTCCAAGTAATGCCGTCAAACAACGATGAATGCTAAATGTGCCAATGATTGCAAGTAATATGTTGAAAATGAATACTGCAAAATTTGATATTATTGCACAATTATGATTTTCTTATCCACCCTCCTTTCCTAAGTATATTCAATATTTTACTTAGTTAATTTTAAGAACTGAAGACTGAAACTTAGATTATTCGAGAAATGTTTATCACTCTCTCTTTCTTTTTCGAAAAATCTTCAGTGTTGTGGAAAAATACATCACAAGAATAAATCATTAAGTGTCAAAACATTAAAGTGCCAAACAGAAGAAAATATTAGGAAAAAGCAAAAAAAAACTACTCCAAAGTATTTCATTTAAAAAAAATTGTTTATATTGATCAATAAGGACTAATTACTCACCCATAACACCACGAAAATAGAAACCAAGCATTAAAATACCAATAACAATTGCCATCACAATGATAATAAATAAGCAATTTGCTGAAGTTGTCGTTTGTTTATCATTTAACCAATTTCTTGATTTTTGTACATGGCTTTCAGTAGTCAGAGTCTGTCGAGAAGTACTAGTCTCTTCATTTCTAAATAATAATCATTCTCATTGAATCAATAATCATTATCTTGGAAATAATTTTGCAATGATCAATAATTATTGGTCAACAAATATGCGTAACAAGATCAATTATTACTAAATTTAACCTAATCAGTTAACAAAATTTCGAAAATAATTTTACGCGTCAGTTTTTTTAAACATTTATAAGCAATCTTAACATGACTAGCACTCTCAAACAACTTCATTTAATCATTAGTATTATAAATAGTTTCAAAATGATTATTAATTATTAATAACCGCAAAGCAATAAGCAACATTAAAATTAACGATAACATGAATAGTAATCATATTCCAGTTTATAATTTTTATGCAGTTTAATGATGATTAAGTAATTAAACAATGTCGCTACACATTTCAGCATATAAATGTTCTATATTTTTGCATATTTATATGTTTAACATGGTAGGTATTCACTGAATTTAACCCCTCTTTCTCCCCCGTCCTTCCCTGCCACCAATACGACAAAAATTAATTTAGCAATTAACTTATGGAAAAAAGACACATAGGAATATCTATTCTGTAATTTGGATAAAATCAAAAGAAAAAAGAACTAACATTTTTCGGAGAGCTGCCCAATATCCACCTACTGTAACACAAAATACAGCTATGAACCAAATAACTAACATGGATATATCCCACCGAGAATTCAACGGTCTATAGAACTGCAGTAATAATTCTTTTCCACTTCTATCATTACTCAATTTCTGAAGCATTCTATGATTTATAATCATTAAAAAGATTCCATTCTTATATCAAGATAGAAATATTACAAAATGTCGGAAAAATGGAGGACAGTATATTAGCTCAGCTTGAATATTTCCAACTCAACAACTATTGCCTTATCCAAATTTCTTTAAAAGTTCAATTGCACGCAATTTGTTTTTCATCAGAAACATTACTGGGCTAACAGATTCAATTATGGACTAACAGATTCAATTATGGACTAACTTCAATTATGGATTATTTATATAAGAGATATTAACATATATCGCTAACATATATCGCTTGTTGCATTCATCCGAGATTACAAAAATTTAACTGCTACAAAAATCATCAAAACAATTAAGATTATCTTAAAATTTGTGATACAACTAATAATTTGCTATTCGGGAGAGATAATCCTCAAACTTTAATAACAGGCTTGTGATACCTAAACACAAAGAGAATTACCAGCATTTCGTCAAAGAACGTAGTCCTGTACATGAAAAATGTCGGCAGTTTAATGGATTGATTAAAATCTGGATCGTAAAATTCGGAAAACTGAAAGATAATCTATTTTTAAAAGAACTATAAGAACTATCAAATATCTACTGCAACTTTTAGATTTTAATCTGTTCCTTTAGCACAAGAAAATGCTCGAAAAAATAGAGGATCTTAAAGAGATTTTTTCTCTAATTCAAAAGTGTGAACAATTTACCAAATAATCTGCCCATTTGCTGAAATATTTATGACCTTTATCAACAAGCATAATAGCAGCACTGGCATGTTTTGAAGCCAACTGGTCTACCTGAACATTATAATATCAAAATTAGCAAGCTAACAAAAGTCTTTTTAAAACCGTAGCACATCTCAGATAACAGTAATAAAACGATAAGCAAATTTCAGCACATATGATCAATTGTTTAACAATGAGCAATAATGAAAAACAGAACCGAATGCTCGTTATATCAATTATATAGAGCTCATCATATTAGCTATTTAATTATTTCATTAAATTATTTTGCTGATTTGGATCAAACTAAATTCTTTGACTGCCAACATCCTACCAATATAATCTAGCAATGCTACTTTTTTGTTGGATATATATTTAGGATTATAATCACAAAAATAATGAAATTTTTTAATTGGTGAATAATTAATACTAATGAATACAGCTCATGTAAAATAACAAATAAGCTTACAATTAAAGATGCTTACTTCATATTGTAAGGCTTTCCTGAAGCTAATATTCTTCATAAAAAACGAAATTGCACAATGTCCATCTTCAATTTTCAGGCGATAATTCAATGCTACTGCTTTTTTCTCTAGTAAGACTGATTTACCTTCATTGCAAACATTAGTATTGTTAACAATTCCACCCCACCAACCAAGCCGTAACACCTCCTGAAATAAATTCGAAAATCACCGACACGGTATGGACAAATAACACATATACTTCCTATATTAACTTTTATATCTTAGCAAAATTTAAAAGTAAAATTAAGTTTGATCTAAAATTTGGAAGAACGAAGAATAATCAAAATGAGGGAAAACAGAACTAATTTTTTAATTTTTCAATTAGTTTTGCTATATTAAATATATCTAATGCAATCAAAAATCTACGAATAACAAAACAAAACTTGACTTGAATATAAAAAAAAGAGAAAAAAACGAAAACGAAAATGCAATTTTAATAATTCGTTGCACAAAAGAACTAACGGCATCTTTAACATCCTTTGCTATCTGTTGCGTTCGCCATTGCTCGTAATTAACACAAAATGTCCGCTCTTTTTGAGTAAATTCATTCTTGACAAATAGATAAGCATAACTGGAATCGTAATATCCATGTGCTTTCTCAAAATGATCAATTATATAATTCTTAATTAAACGTTTGAATATTTTTTAATTTTCTCAGCTGGACAAATTGGGATGAATTTTTCACAAAAATTTTATATCACATCTGCTTTTTGGTATAAATTATATTCGGGAAGCAGAATGGACTGTTTCAACCTTTCCTATTGCAACATATACCATTCTACTTTTGTAAAATTTTTATCCTTCCTTCTATTTTCAATAGAATAAATAAAAAAAAAATCAAACAATCTCAGTAAGTACTTCAAATTTGAAAGTTACAAGTAAAAATTATTTACTTACTTGGTGTAAATAAGTTTAAAGAGAACGAGAAAGAGGCAAGAAAAAAAAAAAGGTAAAAGAAAAGTTACAAGTTGCTTATAATATTTCAATTCATTTCCAAGATAATTGATTTTAAACTAAATGAAAAAGGTACAGCTAAATCCTGATATTAAAGAAGGAAAGAATTAACGATGCCTATTATATTACTTCAACATACTTCATATTATTTCTTTCTATTTGTGATTAAAATTTAATAAAACTTCCTACCAGTTTGGAAAAATAAAATTAAGAAAAAAATAAAAGAAAAATATTTACAATAACACCATATCCATATATGATTATAAAGATGATAATATTGCCAATGATACGCTGCCACATCATCCAATCAGCAAATAATGATACGAATTGATGTAAAATATGGATGGAATAATAAACGATGTTCCACTAAGTTATCTTTAGAATATCATTTTTTGGTTGTTATAATAAATTTGAAAAAAAAAAATCAAAAAAAATGGAAAGGAAATTGAAATATTTGCTTGAACAAATATTTCAATATTTTCAAAGATATAAGATCAAGGTGTGGACAGAGGTGAGGAAAGAGAGAGAAGGTATGTTCGGAAGAAAAAATAGAGCATTAGAAATTAAAAAAAAGAGGGAGGGGAACAAGTTTTTTGTGGATAACTACTATCATTTAATGTTCACAAACACTTAAATTCCAAAAATTATATCACTAGTAAAACGGAAATTGAATAATAAAGAGCACTACGAAAATATTGGCACTCCTAAAGTAGCGCAAAGAAGATATATTTCACAAATCACTTTTTCATTACCCTCTTTCCACCCTCCTTTCCAATTGCCTTCCTCTTCCCTGCAAACATTTAACAACTTACCGCGAAAAAATTCATTTAAATGTACAACCAAGTTTAGAGTACTGCAAATTTATTCATTAATTTCTTTAGCAATTAACTTACTAAGCAATTTTTTCCAGCAAATCCATTTAATTACAGTTAATCAGTACAGAAACGACTGGCATAACTTTTCATTGTGTTTTTCAGTGTAATGAAGAAAGTTTCTCTGAATCACTTTGTAAACAACAGAAGCATCAACAAAAAGAAGAAGCAATATATGCCTTTACTTTATTCAACAAGTGAAAAGCAGCATAACAAAAAACAAAGGAAAAACAAACTGCAATAAAGTATCCCCTCAAAGATATCGCTAATAACTGCCAATTACACTATAAAGAAAAATGATGATCGTTCAGAATACTCAAATTATGGAATTTCGTGAAATTAATGCAACATATATTAAATTTTAAGCTTACTTCAACAAAAACATAAGAACAAATGCCTAATCGACTTACATTATATTTCGCAACTGTGTAGCAACCAGGATAAGAAACGTCAAATCTCAAAAAATTCCACTAGTTTCTCTGCTCTACTTCAAGTACTAAAATTCAGGAAAAAACATAAAACTGAAGAATGAGCAATTTCATAGTACAACAGTGACGGCAGCAAAAAAGACTAACTCTGCAACATCAAATCAGAATATATCTGGTTTCATGACTGTTACTGTTGAAAAGCGAAAAAAAAATCACGGGAGCGAGAAAAAGAGAATGAAAAAGAAACAATCATACTTATGTTCAAATAGTGAATTACATTTTATCCAAGAAGTTATCCAAGCCAGGTATTTGTTCCTTCAAACCCTTACGTTTACGAATTTCAGCTACAATTTGAGCCGGTTTTGTGCTTGGTTCCAGCGGATTACCCTGCAGTACTTGCCAATGATCAAAAACACACTGCGGAAATGCTTGGCCGCCCGTATTAGAACGCAAATCAGCCGTAAAACCTGAAACTCTGTGTTTAATGGAAGATCTTATGGAACCATTTCAGACATTATGTCCAAACAAGCAAGGATACTTGGCATTCATTCATCTGTTGCTCCAAAACTGTAAACTATCAGAAATCCAAACCAGTTCAGGTCATATGTTTTCTTTAATACTCGATTAACCTCCATAATCATTTCTAAAAATCAAAACCAGAAAAAAATTGTACTGCAGTAAACGAACCGAAAGACTCATTGACAGGTAAATACGCCTTAACAATAAACATTGGAGTACCAGCTACTTGTGATTCTTCAAAAACATGGCCACGACGTCGATTGAGAACTCCATAAATACCTAAACTTGCTGATATTTTAAAAAGATTAATAAGGAAAAAAAGCTTTCTGAATACCCAGTTGTTTTGGTATTCACATTCTACTTGCAGTTCTATTTATGAATAAATAAGAACTTCTTTAGTGTCATATCGTGTCATAAGATAAGAATACCGGAATAGATAAAAAGAACATTTTCAGTGCTATGAAAAAAATTAGGCCTAATACAAAATATGGCCATTCCTCGTCATTCAAAACAAAGACAAAAAAATTAAAAGATAACCTCCTACAGCATTTTCAGGACATTGGATTTCTACGAGATAAACAGGTTCTAGTAAACGTGGTTGAGCGGTTAATACAGATGCATAGAAAACACGACGAGCGGTTGGAATGATCTGGCCACCACCCCTATGAATTGCATCTGCATGCAATGTTACATCATGTATATTGAAGCGAACACCTAAAATTTACACGATCATTGAACTTCTGGAAAAATCTTACGTCTACAAATGACGAAATAAAAAAAAAACACTAACCACGCATATTTTCGTCACATAGAACACCTTCCTTTGTAGCCCACTGAAAACCAGCCACAACTGAATCCTTAATTTCGTTTAAATATTGCACACCTTTCGTGACATCAACCAAAATATTTGCACCAGTACCATCGGGACCAAAACACCAAATTTTCCTTGCTTCAGTGACATCATATTCATATTTTTCAGCCAAAATTTTAGCGCGTGCCTAAAAAAATTTTAAATTTGCTCTGACCTTTGCTCTGAAAAGAATGGACATTAACCTGATTAATGACCAAATTTAAAACACGATGATCTGAAGCATCATTTTCCAAAAACCATTTGCATCTTCACACATTTGCGATATCTAAAGAACAAACTTACTTTCATTTCATCACGGGCATTAATTTCACCCTTATCGATGTCATCCGCTAGTCCATCAGGCATTGGCACAGCCTTGGCGAACAAACGGTTATGTTTGTTAGGCGATTTTGAAAGGCACAGTTGGTCTGATTCTTCAGTCACAGTCTCACGATATGAAACAACCGGATCAGACTTTTTAATTGGTATACAAGCGTGATCCTCTTCTAAATCTTTCAAGCAAATTTCCAAATGAAGTTCTCCGGCACCAGCAATAATATGCTCGCCTGATTCCTCGAATATGCATTGAACCATAGGATCGGATTTCGCTAAACGTTTCAGACCTTCAACCTGAAATAAGAGACATCAATTTAAAAAAAAAAAAGATCAGCTAAGCCAAATAGTTATAAAGTTTTTTGATATTATTATCAATTTCTCCTTGAATACAAAGTAATGGGATGTGCTGAGTTTTGTAAGACAAGGATTATACATAAATTAGAAATTTGCCATAATTCTTAAAATTCATAAGCTTAACACGATGATTACCAGTTTCGGTAAATCGCCAGCATTCTTTGGTTCCACAGCAACACGCACAACGGGTGATACCGAAAATTTCATAACACGAAGATTATGGGCATCTCTGTATGTTGTTATTGTACCACCCTTCACAAGGTATTGATCAACGCCTACAAGACCAGCTATATTACCAGATGGAATATCCTCAATTGGTTCCACATAACGTCCCATCATCAGAATTGTACGTTGAATGGTTTTCTCATACAAATCTTCTTTTTTTCCAGGCACATAATTCGGCCCCTGAATTCGCGCCTTCATTCCAGTTGAAACCTGAAACACGGAAAATGTTTCATTTTTTTTGCAACAATAAATGGAAGTTCCAAAGAGAAAATGAAATTTACTGAAGTAGAGAAAAACACTGCAAAAAATATTTCTCATATTTATTCCTGTTGATTTACTGAAATATGAAAACCATTCATGTTAAGGCAGCTCAATATTGGAATATTGGAAAAAGTGGAAAAAGCCATGATTTTCTGATTTTATATTCTTTAAATAAGGAGAGAGAAGCGATAAACTTACCTTTCCAGAGAAGACACGCCCGAAAGCATAAAAACGCCCTTTATCCGATGTCGGCACCATCTTTGAAACATACATCATCAACGGACCATTCGGGTCACAATTCCTTATCGCGATGGCAGCTTCGTCATCATGTGGTCCCTCGTACAACATTTCCATTCGATATTTTTGAGCAGTAACAGGTGATGGCAAATGCATGCAAATCATTTGAAGCATTGTATCGCCCGCTGGCAACCATTTACGCATCATAACCTGCGAAACAAAATAAATATGGTATTTGCCTTAAAGTGATAACACTGAATTAAAGCATAACCATCTTACAAGGACGCATAATAAATCTTACAACCGATAACAAATGAGATAAATTACGGATAATAATCATTCCGCAGCCTTAACAACAATTGCATCAAAATGACGTTACAGCTGCGTTATGATTACCATTCAGAATTCAATAATTACCTTCATTAGTGGTTTCCCTTCTAGATCTTTCTCATCATTCGCAAGTTTGATGCCAAGTTTATCAATTAATTTTGCTGTTTCTTCTTTTTTGACGTTCATTACGGCATCAAACATTTTGAAGATCGGATCAAGTACGAACTGCACAAAACCACGCTTACTATCAGCATCTTGCGTTGATGTCCACTTTTTAGTCTTCATGTTAAAGAAACGATCACCCCAGAGGTTACGCATCAGCTTTTCAACCTGAAAACTCGATTATAGTCTTGTAGGATTCAAAATGTTACATTTTCCTAATAAGCAGCACTTAATCATCACGTATATTACATGTATTAGCTCAGCTTAAACAACCACATCTCAAACAACCGTACCTGAACTCCAAATTTCTCCGCGTAAAATTCAGCGAACTGTTTTAACGTGAAAGCCCAGCCATGCAAACCTGAACCAAAGCCAACGTTACCAATAGCTGGATCAACCATAATTGGTCCCATTGGTCCATCATCATCACCATATGTAGCAATAATAACGTTAATATTCTCTACGATACGCTGAAATGTTTGGTAGAGCTCTTCAGCACCAAGTTGCAGCTCCAACAGAGCACGGTCCATCTTGTTCATGAACAGAACGGGCTTTATACGTTCAGCAATAGCTTGACGTAAGACAGTCTCCGTTTGCACACAGACTCCTGAAAATCGATATGCTGACTTTCTTTCGGTACATGAAACTTATGTGGAGCTGCTTTTCATAAAGCCACAAAAAATGGATAGTTTTCAAACCATTAGAATAAATTATTCAAAATTAGCTAAACCATCAACTTTCTCAACTACGGTTAACGATAGATGTTTCATAATAGAAATATCTGAAAGCACCAAATCTGCTACCAGAAACCAAATCATGCTCTTATTTCGCGTTTCCCATAACATACTCGGCAGTATTTGAAATTTATAACCAAGCAAAAACGTATGAAACGCATTATCGCTACAATTATTTAAACTTGAAACAGCTCCGATACTTGGCAACTTACCGGAAACACAGTCAACAACAACCAAGGCCCCATCAGTGACACGCAATGCAGCAGTTACCTGAAAAGAAAAAGGAAAATCGATCGAACTTTTTTTTAATGGTTGCTATTCAATTTTTCGACTGAGTTCTCTAAGAGGACCAAAAAAAAATTTCCAAGAAGCACTGAACAGAATAGATCATGCAAAAAATGTAAGATGAACGGAAAGTTTCCTGAGTATGCATGAAAAATTCCAAAGCTTACTTCACTAGAAAAATCAACATGGCCAGGAGAATCAATAAGATTGATCAAAAAGCCAGGAAGTTTCTTCTGCACGCCATCGACAGTATTGACTTCCACTTGACTCTCACCTTTGATGAAAGCAAGATCTCTTTCCTCTAATTCGAAAAAAAGAGAAATTGCGCTGCAACATTCTCATAGTTACATTCTTTTTCTGTCCAATATAAAATAGTATTGTAGAATAACACCTTAAAATCAAAGACTAAATTAAAAATCAAGGGGAATCAATCGCAGCAAGGAAAATTCTCTAAAAAAAAGTAAAAAAGCTTACGTTGATTTAATAGTAATGCAACGTTCTTGCTCATCCTTACGTGTGTCCGTAAAACGTGTTTCGCCCGCTTTTGCTCCCGCTATAATACCTGCTTTCGATACCAGAGAATCCGTTAGCGTTGATTTACCTTCAAAATAATTCCTCAGTTGTCATATCAAAATTTATCTAACCAGCTTCATTTCGTAATTGCTCATCAAGAGCAAAGGAAAATGAATGTGACAATTACAATTAATTATTTAAGTGGTGGCAAAATAGCTTTCCGAAATATTCTTTTTTTTCTCAAACTAAATGGAATTTCAATAGAAATAGGTTATTCTTTTGATTTTTTCAATGTGTAGATTTTAAATCAATCCAATCCTTTTTTTTTCCACGTTATTTGACGGCATTTTCCAAATCAGTCATCATTGCAACCTTTTTTTTCGATAAAAAAACATACCATGGTCAACGTGAGCAATAACAGACATATTACGAATATTTTTTTTGTGGTCCATTATACCACGAATTTCTTCGATCGTAAAATTCACCTGAATCACCCCAAAAATTAGTAATTCAGTTTAATTATTTACTGAGACTAATTATGCTCTCAGTACTGTTTAATAACTCACCTCTATCTTAACCTACAGTTTATCATGAATCTGACTACTTGTACACCTCTTGACACTAAGAAATTATTTTAATTCAGAGAAGGAAAGCTTTAAACACTGAATAGAACAAAATATCTGGTTACGTAACTCAACTGGATTCGACCGTGTCCAACAGCACGCTAACTTTGAGAAACGTACTGTACAGAAGATTATAGTAACCTGATCTCTGGCCAGAAAGTAAATGCATATGCATACATAATCAACAACTTTAGTGGTGGCCTTCCAAAGTATAACATAATTTTCATTTCACTGAAGTGATTTCCTCAACTTTATGCTTTAAAAAATTTTGACAATATGTGTATTATCATAATTTTGGTAATAATCACATATAAACTTAATTTACGATATTTTAAAGCAATTTCAGTAGTCCCTTAACAGAAGTTTGACAAATCCGAAACTTCTTTTGCAATTTAACCAGCTCAAGCATTCTCAAAGCTCGAAATTGAGCTCGTGCAGATCAAGTTATCCTATTTTCAACAAATATTTAACTCTTAAACTGAAAACAGAATCAAAGCAGTTGCCAGCGATAAAAACCTATAAATCTATATTCCTTCACTTATTATCAAAATTTTCCAAAGCATAAGAAACCCAGAGAAATTACAAATTCTTATTTTTCTTAAATTTCGAAAACAGATTAAAAAAAACGAAAAACAAAAACGATAGCAGTAAATTTTAAATGCAAAGAAAAAAGAAATACCGAAGAGTTTGTAGTGTTTAAGGATAACCAAAGGAGTAGAAAAAACAATTCAAAAAAGAGGAGATTCAAAAAAAAAAGATTCTAAAAACATATTTAAAAAAAGAGAAATCCACAGTGGAAGCAAACCAGAAGAGTGAAAAATTAAAAATAAAAAGAACAAAAAAAAAAGCTATCCCAGTATTAATATTTCCCATAAAACATAATAGATTTAATTAAATTTAAGAGAAAAATTACGAATCTGTAAAAACCGGAAACGGAAAAGCAGAAATGCTAAAAAATTTACCATTATGAAAAGAGGCCTTTTCCGCTTTTATCGCAATCAATTAGCAATCGTCGGCGAACGAGCAAGCAACCAACCGACGTCAATTCCTACGCAATACCAAATTGTAAGCAATAAAAAAAATGTCACACCGTAATACCGCTCAACAATTTCTGTTTGCTATAGGAATTTTTTTTTAGGTACCACCATTATGGTAATTTATTGTTGAGGTTCTTTGCCAGCTGTTGCAACTAAATATTCGCATAAAATTTTGTTTCAAGTTTTATGGTTCTAGAACGAAAGCTTGCGCGAGAGCGTCTTTCAAATCATTGAATGAGTGACCATCATCGATTGGGAAGATGATGTGTGGATGGGCAGTCGCGCAGCGGTCAAATCGATGGATGACTTTGATGCGTGTGTGGGCGTACGCGCATGGGTATTCCTATGCATATTTATTTATTATTTTATATTTATCTCGAATGTGTTATTTTATTTTCAAAGTGTTATTTTAAATTTAAATCATACTCATGGAGTGTAATTAGTATAAAGTGTAATTAGTAAGTGTACGTGTTAGAGTGTACGTGTTCAGAGTGTAATTTTAAATTTAAATCATTCTAACTATTATACATGAGTACGGTATAATGGTTAGAATGTGTTTGTTTTAAGGTAGTCATAATATAATGCTATATCATTGATCATCTATTAAAATATAAATGGGAATATTTGCAATAAATAATAATGAAAAATATGGAAAACACGTTAATGTTTAAATTAATTTATCTCCTTGTATTTGTTTAATATTGAAATTTGAAAATAAATTATAAGATTATATATGATTCATTTAAGATAACAGTTTGTTTATTGATGATGGCAGACAAGGATCAGTTGATATCGCAGAAGGCGTCATCAGATGCTGACAGTAACAGTAATAACGGTTCGTTGTTCAGCCACCGTTATCCAGATGAAACGTTGTCAAGTAGTAGTGGATCGAAGGAAAATACGCAATTATTATTGAATAATGAAAGTTCATTGAGCCCGAAATTACAATCACATGGAGCGGAAACGATTCCGACTGTACGACGTTGCCGACGTTTTAACGACGCTTTTCCGGAAGGTCTTAAATTTCAGCCGAAAATGACACGTGAAGATTCAATTGACTTGTCCACCAATGAAGTCAGTCTTAATTTCAAATTGATAAAGTTTTTAATTATTTGACATACAAAGGCATTCATCACTAGTAATAATTAGAATCATAGTTCGGCAGTTTTGTTGACTACTGTTTTTATTGCCATTTATGCAGAGAAATTAACATGAACCTGAAAAAATAAAGACAAATTCACATCAAAGTCATATCAATGACAATTTTTATGGATGTAGCTCATGAAAAAGAAAAATCGAAATTAATAATCGATTTAAGAAGTTCGGAAACTTGCATCGAATTTAGTGTCTAGAAGATTTTATTATTGGAAAAATGAAATTTGTGATCTAACTGAAAAGTGTTAAGGAAAAATCGAATTCTGACGATGAATGGTTTATCCAGAAAATCAATCCGAAAAGCGGAACTCATTCGACTGATGGGTGCATTTTTTTCTTTAGTTTCCAAACAATGCTTTTTAAAAGTTTCGACTTTTTTATTAATCAGTTTTTTTCAGGAATAAAAACTCCGAAAACTCTCAGGCTTCACGAAGTAAGTTACCAGTTTATGATTTGCAGAAAATTACTTATCTATAAAAAGTGAAATTTATCAATTCATGGCAATTAACAAAAAAATCTAGTAATTCATAATTTGATGTTATTTTTAAGAAATTCATTTTCTGCAGGTACAACACGTGAAGATGTACAAAAATGTATGATGAAGCGCTTGGTAGAAATGCGTCTAAGAAACCAGGAGAAACGAAAAGCGATGTACGCTGCTGATAACGAAATTATGTTCGATGAATCGAAATCGATGGAAATTGTCTGTTATACCTTCGATTTTGTCTCACTTATTTTTTCATGTTTTATTTATTGCGTCAATTTTTCAAAGGTAGTGATAATGAAATATTTGGCGTCTAAGATGTTGGGATAGATAAATGAATATTATAGCGACATGGCAGTAACAGTTATGGTGGCTACTTGTAAATTATTCCTTAATCCTAATATATATTATTTAGGATTTATCCGGACGAATCGGTGAAGAGAGCAAAGCGAAACCGAATTCTGGAGAAACTCTACAAAAAAGTAGTATGGCCATAGAAGTAGAAGATGAGAAAGCCAAGTTTGGTTTGATACAAGACGAAGTAGCTGAATCGGATAGTGATGACAGGAAGATAATCAATGAGGAAAATGAAATGAATGAAGAAATGAACATCGAA